CGATTATAAATAACTTAATATTAAAATTATAAATAATTAATATTATAAATATTATAAATAAAAATGTATTATGAAACAATTATAAATTTATTTTTTTGTATTATAAATAAATCATATCAAGTTAATATTTATTTATATTATAAATAATGACATTTTAAAAATTAATATTTTATTATAAGCTCGATTAGCAAGCCATTGCAAAGCTCAAACTCGCTTGTCTTTGAGTTGAGTTTGAGTACTTAACAAGCCGAGCTTGAGTGGCTCAACTCACTTRAACTCCTGGCTAGGGATATTTATGTAATTTTCCATTGTTAAATCCTAATATAATTCTAACCTGGCCGATTAGGAGATTGACTTTATCTCCTCAACTAGCTAGCAAGTCTTCTCTTCATTGCTAACCTAGTCTAAATACCATACACAAACTTTGAACAATTTCTACCACCTCTCAAGTAGGAAGTGGAGTTTGTAAAGGGAAATCTAAACCCTTCTATTAATCCTATATATGGAGTAACTATAATTTAAAAATTTAAGAATTGTGTAAAATTTTGATAAGTTATTGTTATGGTGAAGCACATCTTTGTCTTTAATAATTCTCTATTTTCTAGTGTTTTAAAAGCACAAGGCACAAAAAAAATAAAGTGCAAGGGGCCTTTTGCACCATAGGCACAAGGCACAAGGTGAGGCATACACATTTTCAAAGCAAGGTACAAAGTTTTTAAAACAATTTAATATAAAGTTGAATTATAAAAGAAACTGAATGTATTAAAAAGCCTATTGACTCAAATTAAAATACATAAAATGATAAAAATATAACACATATTCATGGTAAATGTTGAAACAAATCAAACAAAATAAATGAAACAAATTCAAGCACATAACAGAGTAAATGTCTTTGAACAAGTCAGTAACCTTCATCCAGCATATGACTTTAATGGCTATGCAGTCAATGACTTGCTCTTTAGATCTTTCTACTCTTGGAAAATTCTGTTATTCCCTTCCTCCCATAATGATCAAAGGATGGCGGCTCTTGTTGCCCCCCGCATCACTCTGCCCCTTTTTAGTGTCATTAAGTTGAAGATTCTGATGAATCCAAGAAAATTAAATCAAGTGGTAGACTTTCTAACTAAAACACAAAAGGAAAGGGATTTTTTCTATAGTGTGAATACTTTACCTACTTCTTGAGTAGGCTTTGTTCTTTTTGTTGCTTAGCCCTCCATTTTGTACATCATGCCCCCCTTTTGTTTGAAGGAAAATTTCTCTTTCTCAAAAAATTGGAATCTTGGATGGGTTGAGGGATTTAGTGGTTCCCTTTGTGTTACACCTTATTAAAGTGTTTTTTTTATCAGCAAACCTTGTTGAAGTGTTAGAAAGCCCTTTCCTTGACCCTTCTAGGGCTGATCAGAACTTGGATCCCTTCTTCTTCAGGAATCTCCTAATGTGCTTCCTTCCTGGCTGCTCTACTTATTTCTCCCTCTCAACTTTTTTCCTGTTAATGAAATTTGGAGTTATCTCCTCATATTTTCCTCTCAAGTATTGCAAATAGGGAAGAAGCTTTTCGCTTTCTAATTTCCTATCCTTCTGTTGTTGGAATTTGGGAATGGCTCTTTGAGTTTTTTGTTAAAGGTGGGGACGTCTTACTGAAGCAGTGGGTTTCTTTTAGCCCAATTTTTTTCAGAAACTGGACAAGAAGATCAAGAATTCTTTGGAGATGCACAAGAGCATCCACCCTAGGGACAATTTGGGAAGAAAGAAATGCAAGACTGTTCAACAATGAAAGAACCAAAGGAGCCATCATAGAAATTATGACAACAAGGATAGCTCATTGGGTTAAAGCATTGAGGCTGTTTGAACCCTTCTCCACTGATGATATTGTGAGAGATTGGACTTGGTGCCAAGTTCCTCTTCAGCCAAGTCTTTGATGTCAGTCCAATGGACACCTCCTTAAGAGAACTTCGTAAAGATAAATGTTGATAGCTCTTGTGGAGCCTTTATGGATTCCTGTGGGAACAACATTTTGGCTTTAATCTCAGGGGATTTTTCTGTCACAAAGGAAATATGTACTTGATTTGCTTAATGAGGTTGGGAAATTAGGGTGTAAGCCTGTAGAAACTCCAATTGATCCCAACCACAAGTTGAACTCTACTAAAGGAGAAGTTCTTCCAAATAGGGGGGTATATCAGAGATTGGTGGGACGCCTTCTGTATCTTTGTTTGACTACACCTGACATTTCCTATGTTGTTGGAGTGGTTAGCCAATATATGCATGAACCCAGGACATCTCATATGCAAGTAGTTAACAGAATTTTAGCCTACCTGAAAGGATGCCCTGGCAAAGGGATGTTGTATTCCAACCACAGCCATCTAAAGATTGAAGCTTACACAAATGCTGATTGGGCAGGGTCCATCAATTACATCCGGTTATTGTGCCTCAGTTGGAGGCAATGTGGTTTCTTGGAGAAGTAAGAAACAATCTGTGGTTGCTCGTTCTAGTGCTGAGGCAAAGTATAGGGCAATGGCTCATGGAGTGTCTGAACTACTCTGGTTGAAGACCTTATTGACTGAGATGGGCATCCAAGCAGATGTTCCAATGAGACTATATTGTGACAATCAAGCAGCCGTAAATATTGCTCACAATCCTGTCCAACATGATTGTACAAAGCATGTTGAGGTGGATAGACACTTTATTAGAGAAAGAATTGCTAGCGGAGAGATTTTCCTTCCTTTTGTAAGGTCAGAAGACCAACTAGCTGATTGCCTCACTAAAGGTGTTCACCATCCAAAATTGCTAAGAACCTTGCCAAGCTGGGCATGATTGACATATATGCGTAGCTTGAGGGGGAGTGTTGAGAATGGCTAGACATGGGTGTTTTTGGTTTTTTTCTCCTTTCTTATACTCTCTCAGTATTCGGGCACCCATATAGGGGCCTTCTTGTAATTATAATTTTTTCAAATTATAAAGTAATCTTTTGATGGTGTGAACTGTGAATAATACGCACCTCTCGATACTTTCTCTCTTCTTCCTCTTTTCCTTCTTCTCTTCTCTTCTCTTCTTCCTCTCTCTTGAAACCCTAGTTTCTGCAACTTAAAGCATGCAAATTTAAAAACCTGATATCAGAAGGGGATTCTAAAGTGGTGGTACAGTGGTTGAAGAGTCAAAAGTTGACTCCCTGGGAAACAGAAATACAATGAAATAAATAAATGTGTTAATGAGGGATATGGTGGTGGAAGTGCAATGGGTACACAAGATGACAAGATAGACAAATGGACTGGCTGATATGATGGCAAAACAAAGGGTAAATAGGAGTCAACTATTTCGGAGTATTTTGGGGAATCAATAATGTAATAGAATCACCACAATAATTGTATTATGAAAAGGGTAGGAAAACCTATTCCCTATTCCAGGGATGCCTGGTATCATTGTATATATTGATCCTTTTCTGATTCTTATAATAATATATTTACAGTTACTGATCATAAATGAAATAATTGGAACTTTCAAGAATGAGGTTGGTGCTACTGCTATTATTGCCATCTTGTCTGGATTGATTGCCTTGGGTGACTTAACAAGAGCTGAAGGGCTGAATTGCTAGAAGTGTTGCATGGATTAAGAATGGGCAAATCTCAAATTCTCAATTACTGGGTGGCAGTGACATGGTCCAAAAATATCAGAATAGGCTCCTGGCATGACTCCAGACCTGCTACAAATAAAATGTGTAATAAAGGTTACATGTTCCAATCACAAATATGCACATCAGTTGCTGGTACACGACATCTCATCAAATTACAGATCACTAACATGTTAATTTTTTATTTGGATGTCTAGTCTGTGTTACATGTCACATTTGTAGCCATAGTTGTCAAGGTGATGCCTAGGCGCATAGGCGCTTTTGGAGGCTACATGTCACATTTGTAGCCACAGTTGTCAAGGTGACACCTAGGCGCGTAGGCGCTTTTTGGCTCGCCTCACCCAAATGACATATGAATTATATAAAACCTTGCCAAAGTTTCATATGTTTCTTATATTTCTATAATTTTAAGTATATAACATTAAGATGGGCATGATACACCGTATCATTCTTTTTACTTCTTTTCATCAAATAATAGTTTTTTAATAATTTCTTGTTTTATTAGGGTTCTGTATTAAAAGACCTAAACGAGTTCAATAGATATTCTTGTGAGGGTTTGAGTGATAGAAGTTTTATGTATTTGAAGAATCAAGGAAAATAAACAAAACGCACAAGGTATGCTATTCATTTTCTTCTCCTCCTTATTTTTCCTTTTTTTGAAACAAAAACAAGGTCTTTGCCCCTTCTTTTTCTTTTTTTTATTGGAAGAAAAATAGAGGCTCTTGGAACAAAAAAGAGGCTCTACCACTTCTCCATCATTTTTGAGATTTTTCTTTCGTGTTTTCTTTTTTCTAAGACAAGAACAGGGGATCTGACCCTTCTTTTACTTCTGTTTGTATGACAAAAATGGTGACACCTAGGCAACTAAGCACTCCTCTGTTGCCTAGGTTCRCCTTGGCACCTTGAAAACTATGTTTGTAGCATATCCAGAATGCCTAGAAGTATAGACATATAGTAAGAGAGGCAAAAGCAATAGCAAGAGAACTAAGATCAAAAGGTCAGCTAACAGCTTAGTTAATGCTTTGGAAAAGCAAGGAACTAGAAGTAAGCAATTGTACTGGGAGGTTGTTACAGAGGGGAGATATTTGTAAAATGTACTACTGAGAAAAGATAGTGAAAAAGAATGGTTACGCTAAGGGGGCTAGCCTTGATATGAAAGGGTGCTTGGCACCTACCCTTCTACACTTTACTCTTTAACAAAATTAATAAAACCACTGATCAGTTATTGATCAAAAAAAAAAGCAGTTAGTGGTTGGATGGGAAATAGAAAAGCAATAAAATATAATAAACCAAAAAGGTACCAATACAAATTGAATTAGTAATTGAATGGATATTGATAATAAAATAAGATCTTTCTTTTCAAAAGTCACATTACCTTTAAGCTTTTATATATGAAGCCCTTTGTGTTTTGAAGATGGTAAAGAAGTCTCCTGGGGGTTGCAACTAACAAATTAACACCCTTCACAAGGTCTCCTGCTTCTTCCATTCGAGTTGCACCACCACCAACCAACCCAAGAGTTTGTGTGTGGTACTTGAGAAGGTTCTGGGCAACAGTATGTGCCTGTGTTACATAGATGGATATTTATTCTGTGAGAGAAGTCTCCACATGCTATAATTATTTAAAAGTAAACAACAAAAATATGGCATAGAACCAACTCAATCAGAGGTCATGAATTACCACACACTTGTCCGACATAACAATACAAGTTCTAAATGCAGAGACAATTATAATAGTAAATATTGCAGCAAACCAAATAAACAAGTTAGACAAATTTTACTACAAAGAAAATGCTAAAACCATAGTTGTCAAGGCGATACCCAAGTGACAAGGCACCCTTGGAGGGTTGCCCCTTACCCAAGCACTTACGTATTTTGTATAAGGCACCACATAGTACTTTTTTTTTTTTTGCTATTTCAAAAGTTTATTAATTCAATAATCAAAAGAAAGGACTGTTACAAGCATCCCAAAGTAAGACACAATATGCAGCCTTACTCTAAAACAAGGCTGAAAAACAGCCATTAAAAAACAGAGAAAATAATCTATTACATAACAGCCCACAACAGCTTATCCCTGTTAACTCCATGTTTGGCAAGCGAGTCAACCAAACTGTTTGCCAATAGAAGAAAAACAGTCTTTGAGAATAGAGGACTGTTTAGAACAAATGCAGAAATCAAAATAAAAGAGAATATGAAGAAGAAGATGGCGGCAATAAGGGTTCAGAGAAAGAGAGTTTCGAACCTTCATCTCTCCTCTTACCCCCTAACACTATGGGCCATTCGGCCCATCTTCTCTACACTCCCCCTCAAGCTGAGCATAGATGTCAATCATGCCAAGCTTGCCAGTATCATGCTGAAGTTTCGCCTTGGGAATGCCCTTGGTGAGAAAATCTGCTAACTRTCCTTCAGAGGTGATGAAAGGAAGACATACTTCACCAGAAGCCACTCTTTCTCGAATGAAGTGTCTATCAACTTCAATATGTTTAGTTCTATCATGTTGTACTGGGTTGTGAGCAATGTTACTGGCGGCCTGATTATCACAGTATAACATCATTGGCTTGTCATGTTCAATCCCCAGTTCCTCCATCAATGATTTTAACCACAATAGTTCAAAAACTCCATGTGCCATGGCTCTGTATTCTGCTTCTGCTGAAGATTGAGCAACAACAGATTGTTTCTTGCTTCTCCAAGAAACAATATTACCATCCACCAAGCTACAGTACCCAGAAGTAGATCTTTTGTCATCAATGTTTCCAGCCCAGTCAGCATCAGTATAGGCTTCAAGTTTCATATGGCCATGCTTGGCAAACAGAATTCCCCTTCCTGGGGAGCCCTTCAAATAACACAGGATCCGCTCTGCTGCTGCCATATGAGTATCCCGGGGAGCATGCATGAATTGGTTGATGCAACTGACAGCATATGCAATGTCTGGCTGAGTCATGCATAGATACAGAAGTTTTCCAAGAAGTCTCTGGAAGACTCCTTTGTCTTCTAACAATGTTCCATCTGAAGCAGAGAGTTTATGACTCGTATCAATAGGAGTAGCAACTGGTCTAGCACCCATCTTCCCTGTTTCAGAGAGCAAATCAAGAACATACTTCCTCTGGGAGATAAGAATCTCATCCTTGGATCTATCAACTTCTATGCCAAGGAAGTATCTCAATTCCCCCAAATCTTTGATCTCAAACTCTGTATGGAGGAAAGATTTGAGATCATTAATTCCTGAAACATCATTACTAGTCACAACAATATCATCAACATACACAATCAGGTAAACTGTCAGGAGCCCTCTCATCTTCACAAAGAGAGTATGATCAAACTGTGTCTAAACATAGCCAAAGTTAACAAGGGCAGCCCTAAACCTCTCAAACCATGCTCTAGGGGACTGTTTTAGTCCATAAAGGGATCTCTTCACCTTGCATACCTTTCCTTTCATATCTGTTTCATACATCCCTGGAGGAAGAGACATATAAACCTCCTCATGTAATTCTCCATTCAGAAATGCATTCTTTACATCCAATTGATAAAGTGGCCAGTCAGAATGAGCAGCAAAGATAGAAGAACTCTCACAAAGGTCATCTTGGCAACAAGGGCAAAGGCCTCCAGATAATCAATCCCATATGTTTGTGTATAACCTTTTGCAACCAGCCTAGCCTTGTACCTCTCAATGGTGCCATCAGCATGATATTTGATAGTAAAGACCCACTTACAGCCAACTGGATCCTTCCCTTCAGGCAAACCAACGACTTCCCAAGTGTCATTCTTGTGCAGAGCATCAATTTCGGATCTCATAGCATCCCTCCATTCTGGAATATTAAGAGCTTCTGACACAGACCTGGGAATTGGGTTAGAGGCAACAGAAGAAAGGTAGGCAAAATATGAAGGAGAAAGAAAACTATAAGAAAGGTGTTTGGAAATGCAATGTGCAATACACT